GTTAAGGCCGAAGACTTTCCATCAAGGAAAAGTGAACCAAAAGAGGAGAGAGAAGATGGCAGCACCCATTGGGCTTCCATGGGAGCTCCAGGTCATGCATGAAGAGGGGAGAAGATGAAAAATGAAATATCTCACCCCCCTTTTATAGAAATCTCGAAAAGTGCCCCGAATGGGCCCCGTTGGGTCCGAAAAAGTAAAATTTGAGCAGACGCACTCAAATGGAAAAACTTTGTGAATGAAAAAGATTCAAAAAGATAAAATATGAACAATGGAAGAAACGACATCAAAAACCGAGTCCCGACCAGAAAGTTATGCCTAAAACAAGTTTGGCGCAAACCGGGGCCAAAAACCCTGAAACTGGAAAACATCGACCAGGAGGAAATTCCAAGAGTACACAACTCAACGAAGTGTAAAAATGAATCCCGTACAAGGATCCAGGCTCAAAGCAAGACATTTTGCAATAACTTTCATTAATTACACAATGGCTCCTCCAAAAAGTGAAAACTGCATTTATGGCCTAGAATAAAAATATCTTCCAAAAATATTATCTTAAAAACCCTTGAAATAAAATATCTTCAAAAGATATTTACGAAAACAACCCCAAGAAATGAAAAAGATTCTAAAGAATTGTGCATCCATGCCCCTGTGGGCACCAGGAGCAACTAGAGTACTTTTTTGCAAAAGTAAAGGTACGTATTTCGAGGAAACCACTCAAGATGAAGGCACGTGAAGTCAAAAACTAACTCCGAGCATGAGAAGTGAGGTTGTGCCAAAAACTGACAAACGGAGATAAGACAGAATAGGAAAAAGGACGAAATAGGCATAGTGTCGAAAAACGAAAAATGTGAAAATGACTCGGTCCTCAAAGGAAGTTATCAATCCACAGAAAAGAGTCTCAGGAATCAATTCCGAGCACTTGAGATGACACTAAGCGACATGAAATAATGCTCAGAAAAGAAAATTAAACGAAAAAATTCATTCGTAAAATTTCAGGAAATAGGAAAGGAAGGCAAATGACCGGGTCGTTACAATATTGTCCTTGTATTGATTGTGGCAATTGCATAAAAAAAAAAACATGTTCTGAGGTGAGAGATGATTTGGTATGCAATAAGTTTATTCAGTCATACACAACTTGGTTTTATCACGGGGAAGAAGTGTCGTCATCTTCTCAGCAAACTGATGTACACACAACACACGAGGATATCAATGCAAACAAAAATGATGATATGCATGGACTCTTACACGAGGGTTTTGGTGTTCCAATTGAAGGGAGGGAAGAGACCAACGGAGAAAATGATCAGCACCAAAGGGTGTCAAGTGAAGAGTTAGATAAATTTTATAGGCTATTGGAAGATGCAAACCAAGAGTTATATCCTGGGTGTATAAAGTTATCGAAGTTATCCTATGTAGTAAAGCTATATTTAGTGAAGACTAAATATAATTGGAGTAACAAATCATTCACTGATCTGTTAAAAGTGATAAAAGATAGATTACCAGATGGCGAGACATTACCAAAAACCTTCAATGAAACAAAGAAGATGATTGGTGACCTGGGTCTTAAATATGATAAGATTCATGCATGTTCCTCTGATTGTATGTTGTATTGGAAGGAGCACTCTACTGATGAAATGTGTCATAATTGTGCAAGTCAAGGTGGAAAGTTTTGATTCAGAATCTGAGGGCAATGCAAGTACATCATCCTCATCAACAAATAAAAAAATTCCTGCTAAAGTTATATGATATTTTCCTTTGAAGCCAAGACTCTAAAGATTGTTCATGTTAAGTAAGACAGCTTATTCTATGAGATGTCATGCCGAAGAGCGAATCAAGGATGGATTGATGAGACATCCCGCTGACTCCCCAGCATGGGATAGCTTTGATAAAAGATACCCAACATTTTCTAGTGATCCTCGGAATGTCAGGCTTGCATTAGCAACTGATGGGTTCAACCCATTCCAGACCATGAGTGTTGCACACAGTACATGGCCTGTTTTGATACTCGTGTATAACTTACCCTCATGGATGTGCATAAAACAGCCTTATTTTATTCTATCAACCTTGATACCTGGCCCTAAGGGACCTGGAAATGATATTGATGTCTATTTACAGCCTTTGATAGAGGAATTAAAAGAGTTGTGGATTAATGGGGTGGAAACTTATGATGCTTCAAGAAATGAGATGTTCCGTATGCATGCAGCATTGTTTTGGACTCTTTCTGACTTTCCTGGTTATGCAATGGTATCTGGTTGGAGTCGAAAAGGGTATTTGGCTTGTCTTACTTGTAATAAAGACACTTGCTCTCATTTCTTAGATCATAGCAAGAAAATATGTTATGATGGGCATCGTTGTTTTCTTGAAAAAGATCATAAATATAGGCGTTGTAAATCAGCATTTGACGGCACTGAATAGGTAAGGTGTGCACTGCCTATGTTATCTGGACCACAATTGTTACATAAATTAGAGGGCCTTAAATTTCCACCATTCGGAAAGACTGTGCATACAATGAATGAAGATCGGAAGCGTGAAGATCGGACGCGTTCGCCGCACAATTGGAGAAAGAAGAGTATATTCTTTCAATTACCATATTGGAAGTATAATCTTCTGCGTCATAATCTACATGTGATGCATATTGAAAAAAATATATGTGACAATATACTTCACACATTGATGAATGATTAGAAAGGGAAGAATGGATTAAAAGCAAGACTTGACCTATAGGATATAGGAGTAAGGCCTTCAGTTCACCCACAAGAGCTTGGTTCAAACAAATTTTATTTGCGTCCTGCAAATTTCACGCTATCTTCACTTAAAAAGAACACATTATGTCGAGTGTTGAAAAATGTTAAAGTTCCAGATGGGTATGCATCTAACATTTCACGTTGTGTGAAATTGAAAGAGCGTACAATTAGTGCGTTGAAGAGTCATGATTGTCATATATTGATGCAACAACTTCTAGCCATAGCCATTCATAGGATATTGCCTAAGAATGTTTGTTCAGTACTTGTCGAGCTCAGTAACTTTTATCAAGCGCTGTGTTCAAAGACTCTTGGGCCTGAAGACTTGGATAAATTGGAACACCGTATTATTTTAATACTATGTCAGTTGGAAATGATATTCCCACCTGCCTTCTTTACCATAATGGTACATTTATCTATTCACTTAGCTCACGAGGCAAGGATTGCATGACTAGTGCAATACCATTGGATGTATCCAATTGAGAGGTCAAGATTTTTAATGAATATTCATTTATAGTTTGTTTATTTTTTAGTAATTCTGATATTATTAAATTTCATTCTTTATATTTAGGTACCTTATGACTTTGAAAAATTACGTGCAAAATAGAAGTCATCCCGAGGGTTCAATAGTAGAAGGTTATTTAGCAGAAGAATGCTTAACTTTTTGTTCACGTTATCTAACAAATATCGAGACGAGATTCGATAGGTCCTAGAGGAATTTCGATAATGTGCTTGATGGAGAGGAAGTGAATGATTTTGGTGCACAAGGCCGTGCCTTGGGAAAACAAGAGTTCATTAATATAGATGGGATGACTTTGGTGCAAGCTCATCGGTATGTTTTGTTCAATTATCATGGAGAAGAACCATTCATTGAGTAAGATTAAGTTCCCCAATATATTACATGATTATATTCGTGTCAAACTTCATTTAGTTTAATAGGCAATATGTTTAACATTATATTTTCACAATGCAGAAAACATAAGAGATTTCTTAAAATGAGGCAGCGCTATTTAAAACCAAGACAATTAGAGAAGATTTCTCATGATTTATTTCACAAATGGTTTAATGAACGTGTAAGTATTTGACTTTTGTGTTGTTGGTGTATTATAGGTTTATGAAAAATTACCTTATTATATAAGTTATATCTTTATGAATACAGTTGCAAGATAGTGAGGATCCAATTCCTAATGAGCTGAGGTGGCTAGCACAAGGTCCAAACCCTGTCGCGAAACGGTTCAAGAAATTTGTGATCAATGGTTTGAAGTTTCATGTTAGGGATGTTGAGAGACGTAGAAAGACTCAGAACGGTGGAGTTGTTATAAAGGCAGTGACATCTAGTTATGCAAGAGCCACTGATCAAAATCCCGTCACAGGAGATATTCAGTACTATGGTGTGCTGACTGATATCATTGAGTTAAATTACAATGTAAATAGGAAGGTGGTATTGTTTAAGTGTGAGTGGTTTGATGTCTTGTCCAAGGGTAGAGGAATAAAGGAGGATGATTTTCAATTTAAGCTTGTTAATTCGTCACGATTATTGGGAACAGATGAGCCTTTCTTTCTAGCATCTCAAGCTGAACAAGTATTCTATGTTGATGATCCCATTGACAATGAGTGGAAAGTGGTTATTGGCGCAAAACCGCGAGACCTTTATGATATGCCAGTGCATGATATTGAATCTTATTAAGTTCAGGAGCCATTTAATGCACAACATGTGGATAACGACATGGATGTACCTGATGATAGCACGTTTTGGACAAGAGCTGATTTGCTTGGAACAACTATAGAAGAAGATGATGATGTTGATGATGACCTTGATGAAGATTAGATTTAGGATGATTCCATATCTACTACTCAATGGATGTGAAACGTCTTTTTTGGATGTCAAATGTCTTTTTTGGATGTTATAAGCTCTGATTCACTATATATATATATATACAACTTTGACAATAATATTGCAGTATCATATTTTGTAGCATGCACATGTACGCTTCCCGTGAAAACTAATTTAGCTTTTTTGTGTGCTTATATATTTTTAATATGTTTTGATATATTCTTGGCACATTATTGTATAAGTGCAATCAATGATTTTACCAAAACAAAATGGTTTTATATAATTTCCATTGGACAACCAAAAATAACCTGAAGTTTTGAGGTATTTTTTATTTCTTTTTATTGATTTTTCCTGGATTGTGCACTGCCTTTTTTAAACAATTTGATTGCATTCTCTTAAATGAATTCTCACTTTTTTGTTTTTTTTCCCAGGAAGGATAAATAATAAGCTGACAATGAAACGAATGGTTAGAGAAGTGGAAAAAGTGAGTGAGCAAAATACCGAAGCTTTAACTTCAAAATCATCCCAACCACCGCCGAAGAAGAGACGGGACCTGACACGATGCAAGAATGTCGTAACCGTGACAACCTTATTATCATTAAGGTACATATATATAGAGATCATCTTATATAGTTTACTTAATTAGACTATATTCAATATGAAGGAGAAAAAAGGATTTCTATCTTTATTTTTGTACTAAACATCTACAATTGTTAATTTTTGTTTAGGGTTAATAAGTTTGGACAACCGATCGGCCCTGGAAATGGTACATATACTAATTATTTGGGAACACTTGCCCGAAATGCTAATTTAGCTCCTTTGTGCTACAAAACTTAGTGGGAGATGCCTAAACGGCTGAAGGAGGATATGTGGAACGTTGTAAAGGTAAAACCCTTCAATGATATTAAAATAATTTTTATGGAAAAAGTGGATTAACATGCAGCAATTATCACATTTTCAGGGAAAGTATGATGTGGGAATCATGTCAAAACATTGGACAATATCCTCCATCGGAAAAAAATAGAGGGGGTAAAAGTGTGAATTAAAAAGTGAATATTACTCAGTTAGGGATACAGATGCAGAAAGATTGGCAAACCCACCACCTGATGTTGAAAAGGAGCATTGGGAATTTTTGGTTAGGCATTGGGGTACGCCTATGGTGAAGGTAATCCTCCATTTATCAATTTTGTTTAAAGTCAATGAGTTGAATTTATAGTTTACCTACTTTCAGTCATTATTTTAGGTGGAATGTTAGAATGTTTACTTTTTCTCACTTTTTATAGGAGGTCAGTAAAAAAAACAAAGAACATCGTGGGAAGCAGACAATGATGCATACTATAGGGACAAAAAGCTTTACACGTGTTTCTGCCGAGGTTAGTTGAAGTTTTAGTAATATAAATTATTTCAGTTCTTATGTCGTTGAATGATTATAAATGTTAGTGGTAAATAATAATATATATCACAATGTCTATGTTTCTTTTATAGATTGAGGAAGACGAAGGCATTCAGCTTTCTCGTGCAGATTTATTCATTCGCACACATATAAATAAGGATGGCAAAGCTACTGATGCTGCTGCTTCGGAGATGATTGTAAGTTTTCATGCTTCCATTTTGCAAAAAGGGGGTCACGTGCCTTGAAGTGACCAATTTTTAAACTCTTTGCGGTGTATTAGGGGGTCATATGTCTTGAAGTGACCAATTTTTAAATCATAGGCCCGTGTGGAGGCATTTTAATTTCATTGTTTATCCTCGGCTCGTGTGGAGGCAATTTACTTTCTTGTATTTGTTGAAAAACATGGGAATATGGGATCATTGTATGTGGAGGCTTCTTGTTGATTGATTTGTGTTGTGGAGGAAAAGTATTTGCTATTTGTTGTTTGTTGTTTGTTGTTTGTGTTAATTTCTTACTCATACCAGTGCAGTGGTCTTTTGAATCATGGTAAAAGTATGATATACACATATAAAGTTAAAATAAAACATGCACCATGAAGTTTTTAAGATCCATCATCACCAATCTCACTTGTTGTATATGACTACTAGAAGTAGCCAATAACATCTGCCCCATAAATGCCAAAAATTCAACCGGAATATAGCAAAGAGTAAAATTCTGTGAGAAACATAATTTTGGACTAACATAATTTTGGACAATGGTTAATATGATTTTGATTCTTAATATCAATTTTGAAATGATAAATCATTCAAATCAACTAAATAAAGTAGCTAACACTAGTTACTACTGTATGACTTGCTAGGTTGGCAACTCTGCTCTAGATAGCGTCAGTTAGGCAGGACTACAGCGAAACTGGGGAAATTTGTAAAAGCCAAAAATTAAGTCAAGAACAAAACATAAGATCCAAAACAATGTAAGTGAAGTTCAGAAGAACAGAAATAAACATTTTGTATGTATGTAGCTCATGAAGGTTCTTTGCACTACTTTTTCAATGGAACATCTATTTAATGAACTAATCCAAATTGAACAGATGATAAGTTAAAAAGGAACTCATATAGAATTATTATATGATATAGATGGATAAAAAGTTCCAAAACTAGTCCTCCGCTAACTCAAAAAAAAAAAAAAAAAAAAATACAGTGTTAATTTAAGAAAATATGGACACAAACTAGAGAATGGAGGGATTATGATAATTCGTAACACATATTATGCATGGGTATAGTAGTTGTCTTCTTTGTTTTGCAAATTCAAATCTTGTTCAAGAAGATCAACAAGCCCATTAAACTTAAGTTTGACCCTTTAATTTTATTTTTATGTCTTTTTAGTTTCTTATATTGTCATGCCCTAATTTTTTCTACAACATCCTAGGGGAATGTTCGTATGAATGATGTGGATGAAGATGCCATTGGGTAAATAAGACTTTTTATGCGAAAATTCGTAATAAGGCCTAAAAGACATTAAGTAGTCATCTAACAACGAGTTTTGGTGTGCTAGGTCAATTTAAGTGTGTAATGATGAGTTAAATGTGATCGTCCTTTGTAATGACATCCATGTGGTCTCACAAACTAGATTAATGGAATCATAGATTTAATAATAAATGAAAATGTGATAGGCACCTTACATGTCCATATTTATCCATATTTATGCATGATTGTAATTTTTAGATACTTATACCATGTACTTGCACAGATATATATGGGTTAAGAAAATGCAATTTAAAAAGAAAAAGAAAAGCAGAACTTTAGAGAGATGCATGCAAAAGAGAGAAAAAGAAAAAATCAAAATAGAAAAACTCTAGTGATGAATATACACAAGGGGGAGTAACAAAGACAGTTAAGAGGCCTAACTTATGAAACAAACAATTTTTAGGTCATTGGAATGTAAAAGTATTTATCACATTTTTTTACTAGACTTCTAGCAACAAACATATTTTTATAGTGTAGAACATTTTGTCACGAGCATTTAGCAAACAACCAGGCGACAAAATTCTGTTTAGTGAATGAATCCCCCTTTTTTTTCCTTGAAGTACTGATCAGATAATAAAGCATTAAAGTTTTAACCCCGACCCAATTCTTTAAATGGTTTGTAAAAAATAGAGATGATATTCACACTCTACTATTGACAATTGCACTATATTTGTTGTCTTAAGCCCAATGACGAAACTATCCCTAAAGTTTATTTGGTAAGGAGTGCCTTTTTATCAAATATTGGATTGAGAAAATAACTGAATTTTTAATTTACAGAAAACTGCAACTATGAATCAATAAAGTGTTTTTTATACGAGTCTTTGGATTTCATTGGGACCTCCACAGAAGGTATATCCCATGATTTTCATTTTTGATCACTAGTTTCCCCCAAAGTCATACCAGAAATGAATCAAGACGTGCTCTAACCAGAAACTGGAGAGGAAATCAAGCTTGTTAATCCTGTCTATCTCTTACGTTGCTATCACTTACATTGCTTGCTATCATGATCTGAACTTGTTTCTTATTTCTAATTAAGATACTTTTGCTGCTATACCCTGCTCTTGTTTGTTATGTTAAGTTGCAATCCTTAAGTTCCGCCTATAAAATTGGCTTCTGACCATTGCTACGGTAAATCTACAACTAACATAGTTAGATTTAAGTAGTGTAATTTCTTAACTTAAAAGTTTTTCAATTTAGAAGTTACATTAATATTCATGCCTGATTCTTCACCTTTCATGTCATAATATTTTCTTTTTGGTGGTTTTACAATAGTTGTCTTGTGTCTTGTCTGTGTTTCAATAAAAAGTTAAATTATTGCCTTAATTAAATGACAGCAAACTAATCTGTCATTAACTAATACAGTCTTACTTGGTTTGCCACTCAAAAATAATCATATATAAAACTTATTTTTAACTTGTTTGGAACTGATTTTTTTATTTTTAAGAATTGTTAGAAAAGCAAGTTACATGAATGTAGTAGTAGGTTTGTAGTGAATGGAGCTTTTGAAATCACTTCCTGTGCATCATCTTTGCCAAGTACTCGTATTACCAATTAGCAAGTATCCCGAATTTGTAAGTAAAATGGTCCTCAGACACACACACACACACAAATAAATAAATTGGCCTCAGACTTCAGGTTAAAGCTAAGTACTATTATTTAGGTTCTGAAATGCCAGTATATTCCGCACAATTTTTAGCATTCCTTTAATTTCTAGCATTTTGTCTGTAAATGAAGTGGGTGTGAATATTTTGAAGCTTTAGATTGTATGAAAGTTCAAAGGTATGTACAACTATATTTTCACATTGTGTGATGCACTGCTGTTTCAGAACACTCTGGCTTTCATCATTACCAATTTGTTATCTAATTACTTTTCTATTCAACTGTTTATGGATTCCTGTTCTATCATTCATTTCATTAGATTTGTCTGGATGTTTCGTAGCAGTATGTTATGGTAGTTCAAACTTTTTTTTTTTGGCAGGAAAACATAAAAGAACTTCAAAAAAGTTACTCTGACTCGCCTATTGGCAGTTCCAATGATTTGTTCTCCATTGTGAGGGGAGAAGAGAGAACTGGTCGTGTGCGGATGCTTGGCTTCGGGCCTACACCAAGCGATGTTTGGGGGCCCTCTCCTAGTAAAGCTGAACTGATTAATAATGCGAAAAAATCTGATGAGGAGGCACGTGCTGCATGCATAGAGTTGCAGGAGAGCATTTAAAAAACGCAAGCCGAGTATGACAACAAGTTAGAAAATTTACGAGCCAACTATAATAACAAGTTGGAAAATTTACAACAACAGTTGGCTATGCTAATGCAGATGCAACAACAAAATTGTAGTGGACAGGTATATTTATTATTAGTTTTACTCTTTACTAAATATATGTTTACTTATGCCAAGATTTCATGTATTTTGTTTTCTTATCTTGAAGGGTTCTAATTCTTTAAATGCTCCTCCTAGAGTATCCCCAAATTCATTTTCTAGTCATGATGCCAATTCAGTTAAGGTTATGAACTTTTAATTTCTCTTATATATATGTTAAATTTTCATTTATTATAATGTGTGCATAATAAATTTATAAAAAATGTAGGGTAATTCAAATCAAATGGGCAAGAAGACTGGTTGAAGTTGAAGATGGGGTCGTGGCTGTGATTTCTGAATTTCCTTCGCCTTGGATGGGTTCTTTTTGAAAAACTTGTACTACATTTGTCAAAAATTCTTAATTCTTTTGTCTGACATTTAGTAGCTTTATTTAGATAATTTGGATGGTATATTGGCAGGTTAACTTGTGGTTGTATTAGTATACATTTTCGCTTTTTGGTTGACATTTATCAGCTTAACTTGTGGTTGTATTAGTAGCCAATTTCGATGGTAATTTTCATATTGGCATGGTTAACTTTGTAGTTGTATTATGTAAAAACAATTTGGATGGTATTTTTATATTAACTTGTGTTATATTGGATGACATTTAGTAGTTGGTAGTTGCAATAGTTGTATTGATATTTTTTCCCAAAAACTATAAAAAATATATATATATAAATTATTTTCCAAAAACTATTAATATATATATATATATATATATAAAATAAAAAAAAAACCCCTTTACCAGCGCTCTTTTAAGAAGCGCTGGCATAGGGAGGGAGGAAAAAAAAATTAAAATTACCCTGTACCAGCGCTTTAGCAAAAAGCACTGGTAAATACACTCTACCAGCGCTTCTGTAGAAAGCGCTGGTAAAGTCCTTTTACCAGCGTTTTTCCAGAAAGCGCTGGTAAATACTTTATGCCAGCGCTTTCTGGAAAAGCACTGGTAAAAGGACTTTACCAGCGCTTCTGGAAAAGCGCTGGTAAAGGCTTACCGACAATGGATTTACCAGCGCTTTTTCAAAAGCGCTGGTAGTTGAATTACCAGCGCTTTTTAAGACTTTTACTAGCGCTTTTGAGCACTGGTAAAGGCCAGAACTATTGTAGTGTTGTGCTATCTACCATGTTGTTTAGACAATATATGCTTAATTTGTCATCCATGCTTGTTGGAACAACCACACACACACTATATTGCAATACGTGTTCTTCCCCTCATTAATCATTCATTAAAGGTGTAGAAAAGCTATGCTTAGTGGTGATCTCTAAACTCCAAGATCTCTCTCTATCTTTTATTCTCTCTATTGCATTATTGCTTACTTTAGTTTAATTTGCATCTAGTTTGGTTCAACCAACCAACCACTATTTAGATCACTGGACCTACTAACCCTAATTTTGATTCCTCAAGCTAGTACAACAACTCAATCCCTTGGGACGATCCCTTCTCACTCATACTACATAGTATAGGTGTTAAGCGGTTTATAAATTTAAATTATGGTGCCACTTGACACTAATTTTCAAACTCAAAGTTTTATGCATTATTTTGTGCGACCTCCGAGAAGACACCATAGTTTTTGGCGCCGTTGCCGGGGATTGATTGATTGGCAACGTCGTATTTGTGGAATCAATTAGGAATTAGTACTCTTTTGATCGTGTCTTTACTTTGTTTTCAATTTTTGTTACTTATTGTGTTTGTTCTTGATTAATAAGGAGCATTCAAGCAAAGGAGCTAAGCAAGCAAGGAAAAATGCTAAAAATTTAAAAATTACTAAGCTAAGCTATAAATTTGGAGTTGAAGTGCTAAAGGACCTTTGTGAACTTTTCTTTACTCATCCCTTAGTTAAATCGTTGGCCCGCGTGGAGGCTTGTAATTCAATTCTTAGATAAATCGTGAGCCCGCATGGAGGCAATTTACTTTTCTTGCATTTTTGTTAAAGCATGGGAGTATGAGAACATTGAATGTGGAGGAAGTTTGTTGATTATTGATTTGTTGTGAAGGTGAAGTGTTTGTTGTTATTGCTTGTTGTGTTGCATTGTGCATGTATGGTCATAGATCATTGAGATCCACTTTTGTCCCTTTGAATTTTCATCTTGAATCCATTGTTCGAAATCTTAGGGGAAGAGGTAGCTCTAGTCAATCCATTTCATCAATGGAATGACATAATGAGGACTATGTGGAAGACCTTGGTTACATAGACTAACAAGGTATCCTCCACCCCAATGTGCATCATGATAATATGCAAGTTCCATTAGGCATGCCAAGGCCATATGTTTATCCACCGCAACAACAAGGCCAAGTTCCATTGGGAATGCCAAGGCCAATCTATGCTCCACCACCTCCCATCATTTAAGGCAACCAAGGTGCCCATGTTGCACCTCCAATTGCTAATCCTCCCCTTGCTTTACGAGATCACTATGTGCCTAATGAATATAATACACCCACATGCATTCAATTGCCACCATTTAGAGCACATCACTATGAAATCAAGCCACAAACCATTCAAATGCTTCCTAATTATCATGGACTTCCAAGTGAAGAACCTTTCAAGCATTTGGATGAGTTTCTTGAAGTTTGTTCCACCGTAAAATATACGGACATGCCGGAAGAGGCCTTAAGGCTTAAACTTTTTCCATTCACCCTTAAAGACAAGGCAAAATATTAGTTTAACAATCTTAGGCCTTTTTAATAACTTATTGGGCAGAAATGCAACAAGAGTTCTTGAAGAAGTACTATCCGGTTTCTAAGACCAATGCCATGAGAACCTCAATTAGAGAATTTTCACATGGGGATGGAGAACCATTTCATGAGGCATAGGAACACTTTAATGAATTGTTTAAGAAGTGTCCACATCATGACATGCCCAAATGGCAATTAGTTAAATATTTTTTTGAGAGCTTATCGGACAATTACAAAGGCATGGTTGAAGCTTCCATGGGTGGCTCTTACATTAATAGGCATGAGGATGATGTGTGGCATCTTTATGAGAGCATGAGTGAAAATTCTTTGCATCGTACTTTATCTTTAAAGAATGGAAGAAATTCTAGTGGTAGGAAGAGTGTTGGCTTACCTCAAGTCGACCACTCCAATGAAATTGCCGCCGAAATGAAATCATTATCTCAAAGGTTTGATCAATTTTTGATCAACCAAAACTCGGTGAATTAAGTGTTTTCCATTCTACTTCCAATTGATGACCATTATCATCATGCATCTAATGAAACATATATGACTTGTTCAAGTGTTTTACATTCTACTTCCAATTGTCCCCATGGACATGTGCAAAGTGAGCATCATGAACAAGCAAATGCTATTTTTGCTAATCAAGGGAACAATCCTTATGGAAATCATTATAATCCTAGTTGGAGGAATCACCCAAATTTCTCTTGGAAAAACCAAGGGGAAGGCTCAAACCCTTCCCAAGGCAGTTTTAAAGGAAAGTACATTCCACCTCCACTACAAGGCTAAGGTTCCCAAGGTTTTAGATCATCATATCAATCACAAGGAAACCAATTTTCAAATTCTTATTTTCCCAATCAACCATCATATTCCCAAGGAAATGTTAGAAGTCCTGCTTTTGAAGAGAAAGTTTTGCCCGCTTTGGGCACTTTAGAGGCGAACACACAATTGCTTCATTCTCACTCTCAATCCATTCCAAAGCTAGAAACCCAAGTAGGACAAATAGCTAGCACTTTAAATGCTAGAGAGAAGGGAAAAATGCCTTTGAATGCCCCACAAAAGAATCAATGTGTTGTGGAGACTCATTCCTCATCGGAAGGTCACACAATAGAGCATGTCAATGCGGTGACTACCTTGAGAAGTGGAAAGATTGTGGACAACTAAGTGGGTGTGTCCAATGAAGAGAGTGAACCGGTGTAACCACAAGTTGACACCCGTCCTGTTTCATATCATATTCCTCTTTCATTGCATGTACATGACCATATAAATGAGAAAGTTATGAAAAGTGATTTGACAAGTGATTTTGAAAAGAAAGATGTGCAAAATGATTTGGAAACTTCTTGTGTTGAAGAAATTTCAAAGAAAAATTCTGAGAAGGTTTTTGAACCAAAAGCTCCATTTCCAGATGCCTTAAAAGAATCCATTTCAAATGACAAGCAAAAGGCCAAAGTCAATGAAATCACGGACGTGTTTAGGCAAGTGAAAGTCAATCTTCCACTTTTGGATGCAATCAAGCCAATTCCGGCTTATGCTAAATTCTTGAAAGACTTGTGCACCCAAAAGCGGAAGAACAAAAGCCAAGCACATAGAAAAGTGGTCTTAACCAAGCAAATACGCTCAATTTTGCAGCATAACACTCTCCCCAAGTTTAAATACCCCGGTTCACCTACCACTTCATGCATTATTGGTGATCATATCATTAATCGGGCTCTTCTTAACCTAGGAGCTAGTGTTAATCTTCTTCCATACTCGGTATATGTCAAATTAGGCTTAGGAGACTTAAAACCAACGTCGGTAGTTTTACAACTTGCCGACTGATCAATAAAAAAGCCTAGGGGTATCATTGAGGATGTCTTGATTAAAATTGATAAATTCTTCTTTCCCATCAATTTCATTGTCATTGACACGGAACCGATCCCAAATCCTAAGAGCCAAATTCCTGTTATCCTTAGCCATCCTTTCTTGGGAACTGCAAATGCCAACATCAATTGTAGGACAGGGATAATGAAAATCTCATTTGGCCACACTTTAGGACACGACGTCCATAAGGTTTATTGTTGCATCATGTTGTCTTATGCAGTTTCGTTTACTACCATGGTAGTAGTATGATTTATGAAATTGTGATGAATGAGTAGGTGGAGGTCTATCCACATTTGCCTTCTTGTTGTGTGGCATTTGCATGCCTTCTTTATATGCTTAGAGATGCCATGTTGTTACTGTACTTTTGTGAGATGCTTTTGTGCTTACGTGGAGACGTGTTGCATGTACCTTTGATTTTTATCTATGTGAGTAGATTTACCTCTTGGTAGTTGCATTTTCTTGTCATATGCATGACTTCTTGGTTTGGTTTTCTTATTTATTTCCCTCGGTCGCACGTAGTATGTATACGGGTTTCCACAAGGGTTTTGCGTTGGTTTTGCCTTGGGGAGTTTCTACCGTGGTTGTTGACGGCTGTAGTGCTCAGAGTGAGTTGATTGGTGTGAGATCATTTTGTAGGGACACATATCCATATCATTGAGGATTTGTTTGATTCGTGAGGTGAGCTCGATGCTCTTTTGAGAATGTATTTTGGAGACTTGTTTCCGTTTTGGAGACCTGGATGTGGTTAACTTTTAGGAAAAGTTTTGGAGGATTGCTGTTGGATATGGCTTGTTGTGGAGTTTCTCGTCCTAGTTATGACTAGGCATAGTTTTGAGGAATCGTAGTTCTGATGATTGGTTATGGATCAAAAATTGAGGAATTTTGATTTAACTTGGTGTTTCCAAGTACGGTTTTGAGAGATTCATTTTGTGACCTTGGTTGTTGGCATTTTGATGTGTGTGCCACTTGGTGGATTTGTATTTTGAGGATTTAGTTATCCGTGATAGGGATGTGGATCTGATGTTTGATTATGGTGATTGGTCTTGTAGTTGATCTGTTTCAGGGAGTAATGTGAAGGACTTTCGATGAAATATCTTATTGTGAGGTTCGTTTTGATTTCGGTAAGCGTTGATTTGCTTGTCAGGTTTTAG